GAGAGTTCGGTTCCCGGTACCGGAGAAAAACCAAAAAAAAAAAAAAAAAAACTAATTTACCTTATGTACAAGCATAGTATTCAACGCTGGACATGAGTGTACATAAGGAGACGCATAACACAAATAGGGACCAATGAACATGGAAGGTGGGTTGTTTTTACGACAGAAATTCTAGCCAGAATTTCTAGCCATGAAGGTACATGCCTGTAATTCTCCACTGGGGAAGCTGAGGCAGGAGGGTTGCCATGAGTAAAAGCCAGCCTGGGCTGCCATAGTGAGTTCAGAGAACCTAAACTTCATAGACCCTGTTTCAGAAAACAAATAATTTTTTTTTTTGTAATAGAAGAGGGGAGATCCTGGTTGCCTCTGACCCAAGTGTGTCTCCCTGCGTGCAGGTGTACGTGGACATCCCAGGGGCGATGGACTTATTTCTGAACTTGCCGCTGGTCATCGGCACCATCCCCCTGCACCCATTCGGCAGCAGAACATCCAGCGTGAGCAGTCAGTGCAGCGTGAACACGAACTGGCTCAGCCTGTCCCTCCCCGAGAGACCTGAAGGTAACTTGCCACTCACGTCTAATCTGCGCCGGGGCCCTGTTTATTGAGAACTTCAGCTTACATGTGATACCTGACAACCCTAGCTAGCTTTCTCTGCCTACGTAGAACAGACATGCCTTCGTGTTAGTTTAGGGTTGTGTCTCCCTAGTGTAAGTCACCCCGCAAGTAACTACTGTTTGCCTTGACCTCTTTTTTTAATACTGACTATTCTGTGTATCTTGACATGCATAAGAACGTGCTGTTCGAATTGCGTGAATCTTGTTCCCTCAGCGCCGCCCAGCTATGCAGAAGTGGTGTCGGAGGAGCAGAGGCGGAGCAACCTCGCGCCCAGCGGCGCTTGCGATGACTTCGAGCGCGCACTGCAGGGGCCGCTGCTCGCCTACATTCAGGAGTTCCGGTTCCTGCCCCCTCCACTCTACTCAGAGGTGAGCAGCGATCCGGCAGCTGGCCGCCTTGGAACATGGCATTGCAGGCTTTGTAAAGATGCAGGAAGGCCTTCACTGTCCCGAGCATAGCAGAAGCCCTAAGCTGGGCGTGGTAGCGCACACCTGTGATCCCAGCCCTGGGCAGGAGTTCAAGGGCTGCCTGACCCTGCCTCAAATAGCGAAGTGAAGGAAGTAGCATACAGCCGTGTGCAGGTTTCATGTAGGGTTGTTGGAGCTACTCAGCTGGACAGAGAAGTAAGGCTGTTCACTGATCACTGTAGAAGTAAAGCAACGGTCTAACTTCATTTTGAGTTATTTTTATTTTTCTAAGAAACAGTTTTTTATTTTCAAGCATCAGTGAAAAAGCTAGCATTTTTGCAAGCGTTGATTGAACCTCTAGAGCTTACCTTGGAATCTTTTTTCCAATTTAATTTTTGTATATTGTAAGGTTGTTACTCATCAGGGAAAATAGCAGATTTCCAGATAACTTCTTAAGCAACATTCCTGCGCTGTTGGGCTGCTTTTATTCCTCTCACCGATGGCAGCTGAATGCCTCCAGGAGGAGCTTTGCCTGCTTACTTGGGAGAAGCTCACAGGCTAGTGTAAAAATAAAGCTTAGAACAGAATCTTTAGTCAGCGACGCCTAGAAGCCTGCTCATTTGCAGAGCACCTGACGGGAATCAGCAGCGAGCAGGCCTCGTTCGTGCCCGGAGACAGCAAATACAGGAGTGGGCGACGTAGCAGTTTCGGGTTTCTGCAGAGACCCAAGGCCATGGTACGCTGTTTGGAAACTTTTGAAGTTGGCCTAACGCAAGATGATTTTGCAAGTGACAGATACTAGCCTGTTCTGTGGGTTGATGTGGTTTACTCCACTGTTTTACAATAAAACATTATAATACTTCATAGTGAAGTTAGCAGGAGGAAGGGAATTGCTTTTACTCTTCAAGTTGCTGGGGTTGTTTGTTTTTTTTGTTTTTTTTGTTTTTTTTTTGAGGGAAGGTCTCTGTATGCAGTCCAGGTTGGCCTTGAACTCGCTGTGCAGTGCAAACTGGCCTGGAACTTGAGGCGATCCTCCTGCCCTAGCCCCCCCCCCCCAGTGCTGGGGTAACAGCGTGCGCACCACGCCCAGCACTTGTTTGCTTCAGTCCTCCGGTGGCACCTGGTTGGGCTTCCCAGCACTCCAGGGAGCGTGGAGAGGGCAGTCCACACTCACTTCACTGCACTGCCGCTGTAACGTCCTGTTCCCCTCTTTCAGAGTGAACTTAGATCATTTAAGGTTCTTACGACATAAAGTAGGTTCAGGTTCAGTAGGTTTCCTTTTCCCTTCCAAACTTTTTTCCCTGGCACTTGGGGTTTTTAGGGAGAGACTCACGCACTTGCGGCGAGGGGCCAGTGCGCAGGGCCACCCCGAGTCACCGCGCCTCTCAGGGCCCCCGTCACAGGGCTTCTCGGCCCCAAGCCTGGGGGGAGCGGGTCTGCAGGAACGGGACTCTTGCTGGGAAAGTGTTTTCCTGTGTCCCAGTCTTAGTGCCAGGCCACGCCAGGGGACGGTGAGCCCCCGGAAGGTGTGGCACGTCCCTCACATGCACGGGGTGGGCTCCCATGCCCATCAGCCTCTAGTGACCCTCACGGCTGTCCCCTGCCAGTCGGGCCATCCCCCCCCTCAGGCCGCACAGGTGCCATGAGGAGCTGGGACCCTGTGGTCACCCTGGGCTGGGGCCGATGCCCAGCTGGGCCCCGTGGTGACACTGCACGTTCTCGCCTGCAGGTGGACCCGAACCCGGAGCAGGCAGACGACAGGCCCTCGTGCCCGTCCCGCTGAAGGGCGCCGGCCACCGGTGCGGTTCCGAACTGCGGCCTTCGGTGAGGATGAGGACAGGAGGCCTTGGAGACACGATGGCGGAGTGACTGTGCCTGGAGCCTGGAGGCACGACGTGCAGTGGCCACTCTTGGCTTGGCCACCGCAACACCGGGGACTGCTGCCACCGGCAGGCCAGGCCCCGTCGTCCGTCCGGGCAGACACCGCCTTCTTTGAGTTGAATTTTGCACACGCGATGCTTACCTTGTGCGGTTCGATGTCACTACAGCTTTGTTCCCATTCCGCTGGACTCCGGCGTGCTTCTGTGTCCGCACAAGGGACGGAGCTCTGCAGGACCTGGACATGTGCTGACACCGGGCTTACGGATGCGGCCTGGCCTCTCCGAGCACGCACAGGTCACCACGAGCGGCCATGTCACCCCCAGCGTCGTGGGCAGCCAGGGGCGCCACGCCGGCTCGGGTGGTGACTGGGGAGCAGAGGGGACAGATTGGCCGCGGGCGCCCCCTCGGTCCCCGTCCACGGTGTGTTGCCTTCCTACTTCACAGCGAGCAGTGTGTCACCACCTGCCCGAGTCACTTATCTCAGGTGAACGCGTCACTTGCCAAACGTCGGAATGCGCTGTGTTTCCTTGCACTGTTGAGTTCTGGGTGGTTTCGTTTTTTTCCTGTTGTTGATTTGGTTGGCTTTTCGGAGTGGGAAATTTGGAAATGGGACGTACACAGAAGTGACACCCCACCAGGTGGCCCTGTGCCCTGGGGAGCAGCGGGCAAGGCGGAGGCAGCTGCAGGTGTCCATGGTGCAAGACCAGTCGCTCAGGAGGGAAGGAGGGACGATGTGTCACCTCCTGGGGACCGAGGTGCCCTTTTGGGCGGGGTGGGCCCTGGGCCGCCTGCCTGGGTCACCTCCAGGAGTGCGAATCCCGGCCACTACAGTGTCTGCTGGGCCATGGTCGCATATTTTTTTGTTTATGAAAATTGTTTTTTCATCATTTAAAGAACAAGTTGCTAAAGATGTGAAGCCACCCTTCTGTGAACAGAGTGATGAGGTACTAAGGTGGTGACACTGGTGACGGACAGTTATTGGCGGTGGGGTGGAAACTTACCAGCACTCAAGAAACCCGAAACCTGCAGTCACTGAGGGACCACGTGGACTTGTCCTGGCGTAAGAAGGGCTCAGCCAGTGTCTCACCTCAGACCAGCATCCTGGGCACCCTGTGAGCCCAGCCGGCCCGACGTGACTGTCCACCGCCTCCTGCAGAGCAGGCTTTCTCCAAGTGGCCTTCCAGGAAACACGACAGCTCATGTTCGCCGACTGCTGACGGGCCCGGGGCGGGGATGGGTCGCGTTTTAGGCGATTTGGGGAGGGCTGGGTGCCTCCAGCAGCCGTGTGTGGAGGAGGATGGGGGGACTGTTTCTGTACCCTTAAATCACTTTGTGAATGTGCCCCTCAGGAGAAGCTAGTGGGATTCCGTGCACACAGGGCATTTGGGGGTTTCTGCTTGGGTGGGGCCTGCCAGGACCCCCTTTGTGTCCTCTCCGACCGAAGGGAACTGCGGTCACCTGCACGGCGTGGGGCGCTGCGCAGGGCGGAGCAAGAACACCACAGTGCGCCCGCTCTGGTCCAAAGCAACAGTTAGAAAACTTTATCAAATAAAGTTTTATTTTCCCCATTAAAGTGTTTCTTTACTCACTGAGAGGCATTACTTTTTCTAAATATTGGTCAATTCCGGATACAAGGGTGAGGTTCACAGTTGTATTCCATATTCACAGTTTCCTGATTTTTCAATTAGGAAAAGTCAAATCCAAAATGTTAGCAAAACAAAGTGCAATATTGAATGTCTGCTTTATAGATTATATTCTATGGCTGTTTGTAATTTTCTGTTCGTTTTTTTTTAATTTGGTGCTGAACATGTATGTCCTTGTAGGCTGTTTTAAGAAAACAATATGTGGGAAATGATTTAATTTTTCCTATTGCTCTTCCTTGTGGAAAATAAAGTGTTTTTTTTTTCTTTTTTGTATAACTGGAGATTTATTTAAACTATGATCTTATTAGTAATTTGCCACACCTGGAAACACTGTTGATACTACAGTTAAACCAAACCAGAGTTATTTCTAAATATACCCTAAAAAGATTACTGAGGACTTAAAGGACAGGGATTGTGAACACTAGTAATTGTTGTCCTAACTTAGGTTATGGACACATTCATAGGAAGTTTGTAAGTTAGGGGTATATAAACCAGTCCTAGCTGGGCGTGATGGTGCACCCCTGTAATTCCAGCACGCAGGAGGCTGAGGCAGGAGGATCATCGTGAGTTTGAGACCAGCCTGGGCTACAAAGTGAACTCAAGGCTAGCCTGAAGTGCACAATGAGACCCTGTCTCAAAAAGAACAAAGTCATTCCTTAAATATGAGCCAAGTTTTAATTTTAGACAACCAGTTTCCCCCTCCTATGTATGGTGTGTCTAATTTCTAGTAAGGAATTATATTTTAAATTCATCTTGAAAAATGTGCATTAATTTCTTCTAAGTTTTGAAAACATCTGGTTGCCATTGTCATCCCAGCACTTGGGAGGCTGAGGCACGAGGATTGCTGCGAGTTTGAGGCCAGCCTGGGCTACAATAGCAAGGGATTGTCCAAAAACAATATTCTTAAGAGAATCTGAAATTTATTTTGTGAAAGGGTCTTACTATGTAGTTCAGGCTAGCTTTGGACTCACTATGTAACCCAGGCTGCCCTTGACCTCGCAGCAATCTGCCTGCCTCAGCTTCCTGAGTGCTGGGACTAGAGGCCTGTGGTACCAAGCCTGGCAAGAATCTGAATTTCATCATGATGGGCAGCTTGAAGTTCTTTGAGAATCAGAATTGCTCTGAGCATTTGTGCTTGATTCCTGGGTTATCAATTGTGAACGTGCCCTGATGGGGATTTCAGTACTCCCAAACGGGTGCTCACATTGGCACGGATCTTACCTACACTGCAAGTCAGTTCACACAGCTGATGCGCAGGTGCAGTCAGCTTTCTGGAAGCGCTGCCAGCCTTACCCACCTAAGCCAGCCTGTGAGTCACAGGAAGTAAACTGGCAGCAAGGGAAGCGTCTCAGGCACCCAAGCTCTAGCTCCAAGGGCCGCTAACAGGATGCGCCAGCTGCTTTCCCAGATAGGTCCGCTGGCCATCCAGGGTCCCTCACTGACGCCTGCGTCTGGTGTAAGGCAGTGGCCCTACTGCACCTGCAGCCCAGGGCGCACCCCGCTTCCGGGCAGGAGTGGGAGTGCCTTTGGTCCCTGCTGACTGCACAACAGCTGTAGTTACTGTATTAGCTGCACATCCCATGCTCATAGAATTACGGAACGGTTGACTGGTAATTTATCAGTACTTTGTTTTTAGACAAGCGCTCACCATGTTGCCTACACTGGCATTGAATTTGCAGTCCTCCTGCCTCAGCTTCCTGAATAGCTGGGATTATGAGCATGTGCTATTGTGCCAGCTGACTTTCCCCAGTCATGAAACTCATTTACTTGTTCTGGGGTCAAGCTCTACCCTCCGGGGATCCCTGGGCTGTTCAGACTGAGGGCTCTGGAGGGGAGCACAGCTGGTGCCGGCCCGTGCAGGAACGATGCTCTGGGACTGGTGGACAGAAACGCTGGACACCCGCGTCTGAGGACACTGGCCCCGGCATCCGTGGAGGTTTGCCTCCTCTGGTGCCATCATTTCCCACTGGCATTTATGGCTTCCTGTGGGGAGGGTCAGAAGGACGAGCTAGGCCGTGACAGCCCGGAGGGTGTCCAGTCCCCAGCCGTGCTAGAGGCGCTGGGGTGCTGACACCTGGCTCACACCGCCTCTCCCCGCCCCCGGACTCCAGGCGGCAGCGCGCTCTGGCTGTGCTGAGGGAGGGGTCTCCCAACCAGCAGCTGCTCGGGCTCCCAGAGGACAGGAGTGCCCAGAGGAGCCTGCGACGGACAGCGGCCCAGCACCTTACACCAAGATCGCTCAGGACGCAGTGCGGGAAGAGCGCACCCCACCAGGCAGAGAGGATGGCACCTTGCAGTTCCCGTCTGCAGCTGGTGCTCAGGACATTCACCACCGAGTGACAAAATGCTTCCGCTTTTCATTTCCCCATTTCAGAACCAATACAGACAGGAGACAAATGTTTCAATGCATGTGAAAAATTGTACCACTGTAAGAGTTAGGTATGTGGCCTACGCCTGTGATCCCGGCACTCAGAAGGCTGAGGCAGGAGGATCACTGTGAGTTTGAGGGCAGCCTAAACTACACAGTGAGACCCTGTCTCAAAAATAAATGTATATATATCTAAACACATGCCTACCGGAAATGGACCCAATATCCCTGTCTTTATTGATCAGCACACAGTGAAACAGAAGGAAATTTTAAAAATGATTTTTCAAGCAAGCTGCACAAATTGTAGTCCCAGCACTCAGGAGGCTGAGGCAGGAGGATCGAAAGTATGAGCACAGTTACAATTTTAATCTAAACTGTCCCTCAAAAGTCTCCTGTCTTCCTCAGTGGGGCTTTTGGAAGGTGACTGGATCTGGGGCACCTGTGCTCATCGGTGGAGAGTCCATTAATGAGTCCATGGCTGGACAAGCTGTTGGAAGGCCAGACCTGGCGGGGGAGGTGGTCAAGGGGTCAACCGCAGGATGTGCGCCTGTCCCCTCTGCTCCCTTCTCCCTCTGCTCCTGCTGCCCCAGGCCTGGCCACCCTGCTGTCTCTGCCCTGAGCCAGCTGACTCCTGACCAAACCCCTGGAACCGTGAGCCACAGTGAACATCCCCTCTTCAAGTCATGGGTGTTGCGTACTTTGTCTCAGCAACTGCTAAGTGACTGATACTAGTCCCTTGGCAAGATGCTGTCTCAAAATAAAACCTATGAAGGGCTGGCGAACCCAGCTCAGCACAGGCCCCAGGGTCAGTCCCTGAGACTGGGTGGGGTGTATACACAAGGAATGTGTTTAGGGATTTTTCTTTTCTTTTTAAATAGTCTTTCGATGTAGCCCAGGCTAGCCTCGAACTCAGGGATCCTCCTACCACAGCCTCCCGAGTGCTGGGATCACAGGCGTGCGCCACCATGGCCAGCAATAGGAAATGCACTTACAAGACATGAAACCAACTCGAAAACAAAGACCGGTGGTCGAGGTTGGCTCGAGGCCCCTCCCTGCTCTCTTTGGTGAAACTGCCGTGGCCAGACTTGTGTGGAGAGGGGAGGACAGCAGGGACACTGGGAAACTCTTGCCCTGTGTGATAGGAGCGTGGGCTACATGGTGAGCTCAAGGCCAGCCTGAGCTACAGTGAGACCCTGTGTGAAGGCCCTGAGTTCAATCCCCAATAGTGGAAAAAAAAAAAGGTAACATTCATAGCACTCAGAACTGAGCATGGTGGTGCACACCTGTAATCCCAGCCCTCAGGAGGCTGAGGCAGGAGGACTGCTGAGAGTTCTATAGAAACCAACCAGGGCTACATAGTGAGTTCAAGGCCAGTGTGAACTACAGAGTGAGGCCCTATCTCAAAGACACCAAAAAGAGAGAGTGAAGGAAAAAGAGGAAGGAAAGGAGGGAGGGAGGGAGGGAGGGAGGGAAAAAGGAAGGAAGGAAGGAAGAGAGGGAGGCAGGGAGGGAGGAAGTGGACTGCAGCACAGGACATGACCGGCTAACTGAGCAGTTCTGACCCCAGCTTCTGCCGGACACCTGAGCCCAGCTGGGACAGTTCCTCTGGGGCAGTCTGAGCCAGTGCGTCTGCCCTTTCCTGCTGCAGCCAGAAGCGTCCCTCCTCTGAGGGCAGGCCAGGCCCGGAGCGCTGAGGAAGTCAGGCCGAGCATGGTGGTGTGTGCCACCTGGGCTACAAACCTGGTCTCAAAAACAAACCAAAAACAAAAAGGAAGGAAGGGAGGAAGGGAAAAAGGGAGGAAGGAAGGAAGGAAGAAAGAAAAAAGCAGGCAGTCCCTGCAGGCCCGCAGGTCGGGGGGCCTACTTCTCCCTGCATTCATCTCCGGCTTCTCATGCCCATGTGTGTGAGGAAACCCGGCCCCGCTGACGGCCCAGCCCGGAGCGTCTGCA